TATATATATATGTTTATATTCTTGACCCAGAAAAGTAACTAAAAGGTAAGTGTTTTATAAACTGGGGCAACAAGTGTGTACACATGAGCATGTACACACTAATGACACTGTGGAAGGAAGTGACTAGCATTTGCTGGCTCTGTCTCTCCTGCCACATAGAAATGCTTCTGAATTAAGGGGAAAACTATATTATTTGTGGTTCTAAGTTTTGACTGACTGTTGGGCTTTGAGGTTGATATATTTATCATCACTGATTAGTTGAAGGCCCTTGGGTTATGATCATAACATATTTTATCAGACTATTCTATATATTTTGCAGATATAATCTTAAAACTTGATACTTAATTTGCCTTATCAAGTTTTCACCTCAATTGATTCCTTCAAGTAAAAATACTTAATTCCTGTCAAATTAGGAGTGGAAGGGAGGAAGTATCTGGCATATGCAGTGAGTCCCAAAGTTTTCATCTCATGATTTTGGGACGCCTGAAGTTAATATAAGCAGATTAAAACCTCCAAAGGATCAATTCCCATTTTAAATGGCTTATGAGAAACACTCCCATGAAGAAAATAATCACGACAAAAGTACTCACTTAGTTTCTCTAAGATCTCCTCATCTGTCATCTTGGATTTTTTTCTTTGCCGATCTGTGTTTCTATACAAAGTACTGGAATTGGCATTCTCAGCAGAGGGTGGTGTGACCTCTTTATTTGGTGCTGCTGGTGAAGCAATGGATTCAACCACAGAACGAGTGTAGATCTTAAAACAAACAAACAAACAACCAAACAAAAAAAACAAAAAATTAAAACAGCGGGCCAAGGAAAGAGCGTGGAGTCAAGGTATTGTCATTTCAATGAATTTTTTAAGTGGTATTTTCTTAAAAAAATTTAAAAAAAGGAGTTTAAGTAGCTGAAAGTACAACACCCTTGAAAGACCATGGGAGCTAGTCTTTGGACATCCCTATATATGCCCTGCTAATTCTGATCTGGGGACCTCTGTTTATGCAATTCTTCCTACCTGGTTTACATAGATTTCCTTCCTTATCTTAACTTCTCCAACAGTTTTATAATTTAGCAGTTATTTATGTATTGTTTGTTATTATCCTCTAGTTGTTTAATGTGCTAATCTTGTATCCTCAAACAACATCCTCAAAACCTTGGTCATATCTTATACTCTAGTTCTTGGAACATAAACTATGTTTAATAGGTACTAGTTGTTTAACTATATTCTAACTCTATGACTATTCCAAAGGGCATTTTTTGACTCACTTGAAAGTAGTCACTTGTGACTTACTGATTTTGTATGCTCTGGTCTTGGTGCAATAACTGGTGGGGGCTCATTGTCATCTTCTTCTTCCTCCTCCTCTTCATCTTCTTCTTCAGACACAGGAGGGGCCAATGGAGGTTCAGATGCTGTTTTTGTACTCTTGTGACAAAAACAAAGTTTAAAGACAAGGTATTAACTCCTCATTGCTTTTCTACAGAAATAAAACAAGGGAAATGAAATATTTATGTAAAGATAGGAGTAAACTACATCTTTCATAAATGATCAGAATCATCAACAATTTGGTGGCCAGGACCTGCTCACCTGAATACAATCTCTGAACTTATTCAGAGATAAATTAATGTCATAGCTTAAAGAACCATGAAGTCTAATATGTTTTTTAAAATTTTCATTGAGCTCAAAAACAGTAGACTATTATTCACTTAATATAATAAAGTTCAATGTTTTTGAAACACAATAAAAATCAAATTAATTGCTCTTAGAGCCTTGAACCTATACTGGGCAGATTATCAATTTATTGATCAACAGTTTGCCAACTGGAACGATTTTCTACCTGAGGATCAGAGCACGCATATGGATATGGTATTAATACAGCTCTGTAAATACTCACTAAGAACAAGCAAGCCAATAAACATCTCTCCCCTGTCCAGCCTCCTGGAAAGAAGCACTCAGAGAGTAATAGACATGAAGATCTAAGGACTACCCATCCATATGAATAATTACTCAATACTAACCATAATGTAAATGGTAATTTGCAAGGTTTATAAACTGCAATAATACAACAATATTGTGGTACAATAGTGACAATACCTAGGGTCAGTTCTTGATCATTCATGTTAATATAGTGTAAAATGGCTCTGAAGTTGGATTTTGAAAGAACCATAGCCATAGTTCTTAAAGTGTGGTTCCCAGATCAGCCGCATTAGCACCATCAAAGAACTTGTTAGAAATATAAATTTTCAGGCTCCAACCAGACCTACGAATCAGAAACTCTGCAAGTGGGGCTCAGCAATCTGTGTTATAACAGGCCTTCCAGGTGATCCTGATGCATGCTCAAGTTTAAAAACCATGAACTATGGCTTAGGTCTGCACTGTTTAATATGGCAGCAACTAGCCACATAAGGCTACAGAACACTTAAAATGTGGCTAGTCTGAATTGAGATATGTTTCAAGTGTAAATTACATGCCAGATATTGTATACTTCATATAAAAAATTGTAAAATGTTAGATTAATGCTTCTTAAATTGATTATATGTTGACATGCTGATATTTTGAGTATGTTGTGCTAATAAATATATTACTAAAATTTATTTCACCTATTTTTTACCTTTTAATATGTGGTTACTAGAATTTAAAGTTACAAATATAGTTTACATTTCTGTTGGGGACATTGCTATTATGGGTGCTTTTTGTTTTGGTTTTATGTATTTATTTTGTTTTTGTTTATGCTATTGGGTATACTGGCCTAACATATTCTGACAATGAATTTTTGTTCCTTGAGGACAAAGCTCCTGAGGCAGTTATAGGCACATCAAAGGACCTCAGTCGTGATTAAAAATTCAATGTTGCTTTTCTACATTCATGTATAAACCTATGGTGAAGTAATAAGGTGTAATCATAAATCTGATAGGAGCCAGAAAGATTTATCAATTGTGAGAAGAAAGACAACAAAGAATTTATAAACAAGTATTTGAAAGAATATTTGATTGCTCTGATATAGATGCTAAGTGGTTTATAGATTGAAGTTTCTATGTTTACTGGACATCAGTTTATTTATGCACCTAGATTTATTCTTAATTTAGCCATAACTACTGGACTATTATATTGTATAGCCATGTGGATAGCAACATATGTTAATGTCATTAATTTTCCAGATTAAAAGAAATCACTTTCTTCTTGCAAAACACTAATTCTTCAGGGCACTTCAGTGGGCACAGGGAGAAATGGCCTTTGGGTTATTGAAATTTGCTTTGATATTATGCTCCAGAAAGTTTTGCCCTATATTATACCAGCTGGGTTCAGTAATATACCTAATCACTGTGTCTTTGTAGAAAGGTGGAAGCTGAGTACTTTTTTATATGGAAAATGGTGCTATTTAATCCATTAGGCAATATGAACCTTGCCCAGGATTGATTAGTATTATGTGGGCCTATGAAAGTGTTTGACATCAGAAATAAAGCATCAGCTCCAAAAAGCCATGAGAAAACTATAAAGTCTAAATTAATTAATGTCTAATTAAATGTCTGTTAATATAATAATGTGCCAACTTAACTAGTCACTTATGTTTAGCATTTATAGAAATTTCATATATTAAATATAAATTTTAGGTTAGATTTTCTTATTTAGCAACAATTCTTGAGTATTTACAATGATTTAACAAGAAATTATACCTAACCACACATTTTGAAAGTTACTTGTAAGTAAATAATTTCAAAGTTATTATTTCAAAAATAATTTCAAAAATTTATAGCAAAAATATAAAGTGAAGTATGGGGACCCCTTATTATGTTTGAAGTAATGCATGATGTGACCCCTACAAGTGAGAGTATATACAGTCTATTAAGCTCTAAAAATGGCCCTAGAGGCAAAAAGAATGATTCAAGGTCTATTCTTCTTGGCTCAACCCTTAAACTGGTACAAAGATCAATCAATGCCTGCTGGGCAAGGGGCAACCTTACACATCTTAAGTCTTAATACTTCACTAGATAAGATCCACCTGCAAGATTTCACTGACTGTTAACATTCATTACTATCTTCACTGCTAATTTCAAATGGAGGCCATTCCCCAACTCTAAGGAATGACTTATGGGACTATCAGAAAACCTGAAGATTTTTATCCTGTGAAGGTTTGTGGGAAAAGAAAAAGACAGACATTTCTGTTTAGTTTGGACCAAACCGTATCCTGCCATATTGGTTGGTAGACTGGAAAGAATGTATGGCATTGAGTGGATAGTATGTTTTGAATTATGGTTGGGCCAGAGAGCATTAAATCCCCAGCAATCCACAAAGGATACAAGCCTTTGGTACCGAGAACTGAAATGATTTCAGGAATGTGCCACAATGCCCAGCTAATTTTATATTTTTATTAAAGACGGGGTTTCTCTATGTTGGTCAGGCTGGTCTCGAACTCCCAACCTCGGGTGATCTGTCCGCCTCAGCCTCCCAAAGTGCTGGGATTACAGGCGTGAGCCACAGCGCCCAGCCGGGAATGTAGTTCTTAAGCTAAGTTGGGTCCTGGGCTCTTAGGGTTTGGCCTATCTGCCCAGAAAAAATACAGGTAGATACATGCTTTTACATATAACTTCAACAGTTCATAGATCTGAAGCTCACTTACAGACTGTAAGTTCTGAACGTTGCTCTAGAGACTACACCAGCTAGAGTAGCTACCTTAGGAAATTCCATTTTCTCTGAGCTTAATTTTTAAAGGTCAAAGAACTTAGAGGTAAGGACTTTGGAGGCTTTAGATAACATAAAATATTGTTTGGGGGGCACTTTTGGTGGTTGTTTATGTAGATTTTAGGGTTCTACTCCAGATCTACTCTGGGAGTGGAGCCCTGGAATCTGCAATCTAACATAATCCCCAGGAAATTCTGATACACATTGAAGTAAAAGAACTACTAAACTATGTTAAAAAAAATTTAACCAGTACTGCAAATCACAAACGAGCAATCTGTCAACTGCACACCCAGATTCTCTAGGCACAGATAATGGCATGTTCAATAAGACAACACAATAATGACATACTATTGCTGTTCCTTCCACTTGGAATACTAACTTAGGATTCTAAATATGTGATTTGTTTTCAACCGTATAATAAACTTATAAAATTTTAAAATTAGCCTCAAATAAAGAGTGGGTCCCTGAACAGTATTTGAAATTGAATGTACTAATTTCAAAGATATTGAATGTCTAGAATGAGTTAAGATATCCACAAATAAGCAATAAAGTAGGTGTTATATCACTATGAGATTTATCCCTGAGTTCAATATTAATTACAGAATCATGAGTTTAAAACACTTAGAGAATACAACATTGCTTCTGTTTTAATTCTTACCCAGGCTACTAAACTATGCCAAAACTTGTGATCAGTTCAGGCTATGTCTACAAGGGGTAATCAGTCCCATTAAATCAGATTCTGTAGACAGCCAGCTCTACTGGGAGTTTTTATGATGCAAAAAAGACATACACATTGCAAAGCGTACTCTCCTCTAGAACTATAAGGAAAACACAGGTGCAGTTATCTATTCCTAAGGAACTGAGTCCCACTGAAGCGATCCAAATAGAATATCAGGGTCCAATTCAGTTCGTTCAATCAATAGAAACCTAGCCTTCATCAAGCAGTCAACCCATTCTCTTCACCTGAAAGTCCTGCCAGCCCTTCAAACTCAAACTAATAAAGAACTCAGCATCTTCCCACAGAAATTGGCTTCTCCTGAAAGACAGCATCATTATATTTTTACCCACCCACCAATCAGTTTAAGCCTGTATTCATCTTTAACGTCACCCTTTCCTCCAACATCCAATTAAGAATCTAAGTATCTCTAGAATTTGAATGTAATCTCCCCATTCCTACTGTTACTACCTCACTTCTGGCTCTGATTACTTGGATGCTTGCAATATTGTCCCTACTTGTCTCCCTTCATCCAGTCTAACCTTTTGTCCTTAACTCATTCTAGACATTTGCTATCAGATTACTCTTCCCAAGGTATAAGCGTTAATCACTTAACCTTCCTATTGCAAAACACTTCAAAAGCTTCCCACTGGATACTGGAATAGCCAGATTCTGTGGAATACCATTTAAGAGCCTGTATGATTTGGTTCTACCTTAACCTTCAAGGCTTATTTCCTGATTCCCTTTCTTGCATCCCAGTCTTCATTCAACCCCATATTCCTTGTTTCCTTGCTCTACTCACCAACATGCCCTTTCTTATGTTTTTGTTTGTTTGTTTTTGAGACAGAGTCTCAGTCTGTCACCCAGGCTGGAGTGCAGTGGCATGATCTTGACTCACTACAACCTCCACTTCCTGGGTTCAAGCAATTCTTCTGCCTCAGCCTCCCGAGTAGCTGGGATTAGAGGTGCATGCCACCACGTCTGGCTATTTTTTGTATTTTCATAGAGATGGGGTTTTACCATATTGGCCAGGCTGGTATCAAACTCCTGACCTCATGACCCGCCTGCTTTGGCCTCCCAAAGTGCTGGAATTACAGGCATGAGCCACTGCACCCAGCCTATGTTTTTCTTTATACTTAAAATGCCCTTCCCATCTTCAAAGATCCAAATCTCACCTGACCTTTAAGGTCTAGCTCAAATGCCAACTTTTTATGAAGCATTTTCTAACTTAACAATCAACAAATACATATCAAGTATCTATTTGGTATCACCCACTGAGCTTCAGCCCTTAGAGAAAAGGGTGTGCTTCCCTTTCCCTTCCCAGCTAAAAGCAATCTATTTCTCTGGAATCTCATAGCACATGGACATATTTTAAGATATGTAATACTATCCATATTGTTGTGTGTGTGTGTTTTTTTTTTTTTTTGAGACAATTTGC